TTTATGTTTGTTTATTGGTTTTCTTTTTAACTGAGTGTTGTACACCACCCAGAGTCACCTTTTTGTGACATGGGCAGTTATACAAATATGATAGATAGATAGATAGATAGATAGATAGATAGATAGATAGATAGATAGATAGATAGATAGATAATAACCTGTCAGCCCACTGACACTGCATCTATCAAGTTTTTTTTGTTTTTGTTTTGTTAACTACATGGAGATTGTATTAATAAAATGTACAAATAACTGTGGTCCTGGCTGATGAGGAGGGAAAAATAACTTACTTGTCCTGTAAAATAAACTGCATTTTGTTACTGGAAAGCCTAATCCATATTTGCTCCTTTTTCAGGCATGCAATATTAAACTTAGCAAAAGTATTGTTTTTATTCATTCCTACACTTACTTTAACCTATGTGCTCTATATTGTATTGCCGAGGTCATTTGCTTAGATTTCTGAATAGATAAAAATATTTTTAACAACTCCTCCCTTTTTACTGCTTGTGTTCTTTTTGCACAAATTGTATTCTTCAATTCCTATACACCCACTCCTCATTTAGCAACCAGGTTCCAGTCTCACAACCAGGTCATTAAGCGAAATGATTGCTAAGTAAACACTTGACACAGAGAGAAAGAGAGGGACACTTCAAAGATCACTGGTTGCTGCCATCTCATTCAGATAATGTTCTCATATAGCTACGCCAGCGTTATTCTCACTCTGGCATGCATTTTTGTCAGGTGTACAAAATTTGGCCACTTGGGAATGGTATTTAACCGAAGTAATTGTTAAACGAGAAGTGGGTATATTGCAATTGCAGGAAACATTCCACTAGATCTGTTATTCGTATTAGGTCATATTTCCCTTCCTGAGTAGTTTGAGGCTATGTTATTTATTCCCCATAATACATGGACAACAAATGGCATGATTTTCATGAGCCAATGTTCTGAATTTTTTTTTAATTGAATGATTTAATGTTGTTGTTGTTGTTCAGTTGTTAAGTCATATCCGACTCTTCGTGACCCGATGAACCATATCGCGCCAGGCCTTCCTGTCCTGAATGATTTAATAGGTCCCATTAAAGCAATACTCTGACATCCTTCTGTAGTGTACAGTTCTGCACCTGATAATTTTACATCAGTTTTAGTCTTCAGCCTCCTGGATTCAGTTTCAAGCACCTCCAGTTAACTTGCCATGCTTCAGCCAAATAGTACTTGTCCAGTACCTGTTATGTACAGGCCATTTCATGCCAGTAGTCATAATTCAAAAACTCAGTCTGTTCTGAGAATTCAAAAATCTTCCATTCACCTCTTTATTTACTGTTTAAGCCTCTGTCATCTGGATGGAGAGGGTGGATGAGAATACCACTACAGTACCATGGTTTTGAACTTCCTTCTTAGATCTTCCATGATGATACACTTATAGCTGCTCTTGGCAGCATCACTTTTCCCCATTTGGGTTAGCAGGAAGGGGTAACTATCAGTGGTCTTTGAAGTTTATCTGTCATATCCCTGATCAGCATATTTCACAAGTTGATGGGTCCAATTGATATAAGTTTGTTTTCTTGGAGAGTCAGTCACCAATTACTTCAATTCATTTCTTTGTCTTCTTGCAAACCTGCATCTTCTGTGCTATTCAGGGATCCACCCTATCTCCTTTTAGCAGTATCTTTTTTTCATGTTTTGCAGGCTCAGAGCCTATTTCTACTGTGAGAATCTGAAAGTAGTTCTGAATTCTTGCAGTGCTGAATATCTTCTTTATCCATTGTCTCTAGTTGTCATTTTCATCTGCTTAACTTGTTCTTTGACTGTCTTAAGTAGAACTGTTTTTTTTTTATGTCCTGTTGTAACACATCCTTTGATCTAATGAGCTTTCATCCTCTCTTATGATCTGAAATGTGTCCACTTATTACTCTAATCATCATACTTCTTCAGGCACCACTTAACGCAAATAAATTCTAGGTTGTGTTTGGGCAGGAACACAAATGCTGCAAGTGTTTCAGGGTAGGACTCCAAAACTCTTGTCTTTACTTCTGTTTGCTAAAGCACTGCTAATAGAAAGCCTTTCATTTCTTTTCATGTTAGTTGACTACTCACAATTCCCTGTCCAATTGCTGTCAGCTTCCTTGAGTATTTTATAACAGAAAGGAGGGATAAACATTTAACGAATAAATAATTTATTTAGTGTAAACATTACTGAGCTAGATTCATTAACTCTTCCTTTTTGCACAAGTGACTTTCAGATCTCAGCTTTTACTACTGCTGTTTTTTACGTTTAATACCATATGTTGGAAAAAAATGTTTTTTGTGTTACAATACAAACTTAACATCACTGCTTCTACTAGAACTACTAAAATGACATTATTATATGTCTATAGTTGATCCTACTGACTTGGCAAGAATCATATCCCACACTTCAGTGAATATATTGGTTGTGCTCTTACATTAGGATTCTTATATGTAGTTGCATCAGTTGCTGGGTGATGTATAAGTAAGTGATATATTTGGATAGATACTTTTTGAGTCCATTGTTTAAAAATGAGGCCTTTTAATCAGCCCTGACAGTTTATGAATTTTGAGAAAACTGTTTCTGTTGTGCTTTTGTTCCAGAATGTTAAAATGTATTTTATTTCAAAAATAAATATTGTGAAATATCAAATCAGTGAAGTTCAGACTGTCATGAAAGTTAAAAATTCCTAAAAGTAAATAAGTTTGAAATAAAGATTTTCAGTTTAATAAGGCATATTTTCACCATTTGCACTCATATGTAATCCATGTTATTATGGTCCTTTTCTTAAGCTGGTTACATATTAGTCCCAAAGTGTACAATTTGTTCTACTGTTTAAATTCATTTTTAATGTGTTGTTTGTTGGTATTTTTTTCTCTAAAAGTTTTATCCAAATTTGTGACTTTCTTTTTTAAAATTTATTTAAAAGTATATTGGATAATATGAACAAAATGAAATCTAAACATTAGAAGTATGAGTTCCTGAAGAGACCACAGTACTCTTTCACTGTTGCAAAACAGAAAGTTGAATATTGGGCCAAAGGAATGTTTGTGCATGGATACATCACATTGTTCCTACTCCCCATCCCATCATTTTCCCCCAGAATAATCAGTAGACTTAGGTGATCTGGCTTACCTTTATGTAGAGAATGTGTTTTCCATATAATCTGTTTTCTCTTTGTAATATTGTTTTAGTGTTTCTGGAGGAGAGCTCTTCGAAAGAATCATTGATGAAGACTTTGAACTGACAGAGAGGGAATGCATTAAATACATGAAACAGATCTCAGAAGGAGTACAATTCATTCATAAGCAAGGCATTGTTCATTTGGACTTGAAACCTGAAAATATTATGTGTATCAACAAAACTGGTACAAGAATCAAGCTGATTGATTTTGGACTTGCAAGAAGATTGGGTAAAATCTCTAAGTTATCTTAAACAGCTGTAAGATACAGTGTATTTTTATCATGTATATTTGTTGCAAGTACTTGGAACCACTAATTAATTCAAAACTGGCTTGTCCCATTTTCCATATGGCTTAGTTAGCATTGTAGCTTGCCAGAAGTCCATAGCAGTGGGCAGTGAGCAATGCAGTGCCTTCCATCATCAATCAGAGGATGTTTATATCCATAAGTTCTAGAGCTTCAGAGCAGTCATTGTGAAAGCCTTAGCTTTGCCTGATCCCCAAACAATAATGCCTGATGTCTAGATTTCACAAGCTGAAATGAATGTCTGTGGCAAATAACCATAATTTAAAGCAGAATCAGGGAAGCAGAATTTATGATCCCATTGAGAACTGATTTTATAAATGGCTCTTAGACTACTTTTTGATTAGAGGGTAATTACCTTTTAATTTCACCTTTTTGAACTTTTTGGTGCTCAGCTCAAAAACTGTGCCAACGTGTGTTTTAAAAAGAACATGAAACAGGTGTTCAGAAATGCATATGTTTTGATAAAATCACAGATTAATGTAGAAATAAGATGGAGCATAATGATGAATGAATAAGTGTGTAAAATTAATTGGAAATAGATTAGAATCTCAGTCAATACAGTTCCATGCAGTTTCCTATAGAAACTGTCCCACTCACCATACTTTATTATCTCCCAAATTCTCTTGGAGATATAACACTGACAGATGGCCTCTCACTCAGGTTGCTTCTTGGTTGAATGCAGACTAGTTTTCTCCTACTTCTAGCCAAGTGCTATGTATTATCTGGCCATTCCCAGTTTGGAGTGGGTGGGTGTCAACTCTGTAGGCCCAGATATGCTGGGCTTATAACTCCTAGAATTCTCAGCCTGCCTAGTATTAGTTTGGTGAAGCTGCTAGAATCCCTGTTTGTCCTTTTTGCTGTCATCCTGACCAGTGGGTCACAGACTCTGAGCTTAGCTTGTTAGAAAATGCTGAATCAAATCATTTCAGGCATTTTTTCAGTCTACCTTCCTCTGGATGACAACCCAGAGAGGACTCTGAACTTTTTTTTCACTAACCAAAAAACGTTATTTAAAGCCATTAGAAAACTCATGCAGCTAAACTCTCAGCTAAACCTTTGCTATAATTTAAAATAGCAGTAATTTGTAATCCTTTTGTGGTCAATATCTGTAGACATTAACTTTGTCAGGGAATGTCAACCATGTAGGAGGATATTTTTCTTTACCTTTTTTGGAATATTTAGGACGTTGCATGTGAGGAGTATTAGTATTAATATTTTTCTGGGATGTTTTGCTGAACCATTTGTTTTTATAATTTTTAGAAATTGATTTGTTCTGCACAGTGCACTGAAAAGCCTAGTTTAAAAATATATATTGTTGGTTATGCTACATGCAAATGGTAATGAGGTCTCAGCTCTGGCTTTGACACAAATTGATTAGGATTAGCCATCAAATCTTGCACTGAAGCAACAGGGATGCTGACTCTCACAATAGTCCAGGTCCATAGAAATATATTTCAGCAGCTTGTGTTGGATGCAAAATCCATAAGTCACTCCAGTAACCTCAAGCACAATCAAGGAAGCACAATTTATGATCCCAGTGAGTTCATAAACAGCTCCCAGACTAATTTTTTATCAGAGAGTAATTAAATTTTCATTTCACCTTTTTGAACTCAGCCCTGCATTTAGGCTCTCCTCAACTAGTCACTACACAAGATTAAGTGCCCAGTATAGGTTGTACTTATTGTACTTAGGAATTCAGAATTATTTTGGAATAAGAATCATGTGACTAATTTTAGATTATTACTGGGTGAGGTGAGGGCAGGAACTATGACTTTCCAATATTTTTTTATTTCTACTTCCATTCCCATATTCAGCCTGCATGGCCAATGCCAATGACAGTGGGACTTGTACAACACCTGAAGATGTATAGCTTCTTTATCTGTAATATATACACATTCATAATAGTGTATGGGCGGGTGGGTGGATATACTTATACATGCACACACACACACTGTGCAGAAATAGTATATTAATGGACTAGAAGCATTTTGCATAGGGAGAAAGGCTAATCCTATGGGGGGAGGGGGAGGCCAGGCAGAGAAAGAGGAAAGGAATCTTCTCTTGCCTTTCCAGATCTCTGTATAAAACTGTTCAGGAGCAGAGGAGTAATGTAGGGGCTAATGTTGTAAGTGTGGGATAGCCAGCAAAGGTTCGCATCCCTGATTGCCTTTGTACTTCACCTAGACTGCCTTCAAATTATTTTTCTAAGTTACCTCTGAAACTTGGGGAGAATAGCTTGCTTAGACTTCCGAAGGCAACTTCAGAGACACTGTCTTCTATGTTGATATTTTCCTTCTCTGTAACCTTAGAAAATGCAGGTTCTCTGAAGGTCCTCTTTGGAACACCAGAATTTGTGGCTCCAGAAGTTATAAATTATGAGCCTATTGGGTATGCTACTGACATGTGGAGCATAGGAGTCATCTGTTACATCTTGTAAGTAATTTATTGATTCATATCTTTCAAATGTCTCATTCTGTTTGCTTACATTCTGAACCCTTACTTTCTGATAACATATAGATCTAAGCATATCCATATCCAGCAGAACTGTTTTATTTGGAATTATTTCCCCTTAAATGTACATTCATGTTCTTCAGATGCATTTTTTAAAAACTGAAACTTCCCAGAATATAAAAACTTAATTAGATCACGGTTTTATAAGCACATTAGTGTCCTTTTAAGACTCAGAGAAGGATATATTCTGTTATCCTAGTCATAATACCTACATTATTCCAGTTAGTCTTAATCAAATCCCACAGTTGCCTAAAACTGCCTTTAAGATGAGCCTGAATCCTGCTGTCTTCAAGGATACCAAAATTCAACTGTTTCATTTAATCACTGTGAGATTGCTGAGAAATAATATTACAAGATAATAGAAATAATTAACCATTCATACCCCAAATTATTTTGTTCATTCTTATGTACATATGTATCTTTCCTGATTCACAATTCCATATTTAAGACATTTAATTATTTATTTAGGGTTTTCCTTTTGTTATATCAGTATCTGCAAAGCAGTTCCTTAAACTGAATGTATGAGAGCATGGGGGTATGAAATCTGTATTTCATTATTAAATCACAGCAGACCATCAGCTGTTCTTAATGAATGCATTATTATTTAAATAAGAGCCAGTTTGGTGTAGTGGTGAAGGTGCTGGTCTAGAAACCAGGAGACTGTGTGTTCTAGGCCTCCCTTAGGTATGAAAGCCGGCTGGGTGACTTTGGGCCAGTCACTCTCTCTCAGCCCAACTCACCTCACAGGATTGTTGTTGCGGGGAAAACAGGAGGAGGAAGGAGTATTAGGTATGTTTGCCGCCGGTGGGTGGGTGGGTGGATGGCATGATAAAAAAATCTTCTGTCTGCCTTTTCCAGTTTCTGCTAATTTTTATTGGTAGTATTTTATTTCTTCATATTTCTATATTTTTAAGTATGTATTTATATTTCATAGCTCATGCCATCATTTTCCAATAAATGGAGAGTTGTTTTCCTTTTCTTGTTTCTGGTCTCTGTTAATTTTAAATTATTTTTCTGTCTTTTGTTTTCATTTGTTTGGCACTCTTCTCAAGTTTATGTTAGTACTTTCAGTGATTTGATATTTTTATATATGCATGAATGTGCTGTTGGGGCCATAAATAATAAGATATGCTTGCAGAATAATATTTAGCAAATACTCTTTTTTTCAACTTTGCTCTTCAAGTGTGCTTTCCAGTACTTTGTAAAATTACAGATAAGCAATTTTTTCTAGTTCCCTCGTGATTACCTGTGCTTTAGATTTTCTCTATTGTCTCTATGTTGAATCTTTCCACTGGGTTTCATTTGGTGTTTCTTTACTTATTTGGTGTCTTGCAGGGTACTAGGTCTGGGCTGCAATACTATAGATGACCATTAGATGGCAGTATACGATACAGAAACATCTACTTCTGCTAGCTAGTGGTTGAGTGGATTTTTGCAGCCCACATCTGGTAATCCTAGTGTCCTGGCATTGTTTGTTTATGATTAAGGCAAATTCCAAGCAATAGTCAGTGGCAGTGTAGGGGACTATATTTTGTTCTACAGTTTCCTTATCACTTTTCAGCTAAGAGGCTCACTGTTAATTCTGATCATTAAAATCTTAATTTTATTAATTAATAATTAATAATTTTATGATTTTCTGAGACTCAGGACAAGATTAATAATTTTCTTTCATCAATGCTTTTTGAAGTGCTGGTTGATAAGTTGGTAAAGTAATTGAATCTTGAAGTGTGTATTCCATTTAAATGACACATCTACTTTATTTTCAATGCCCTTGAACTGAGATGGACCACTTTTCTTCAGGTTCTTAATAAAACGTATAAACGTATGTATGTGTTACCTTATCCTCCCAACTATTTCTACTTGGGACTGGCCTTGTTATGCAAAAGGGTGAAGGAACTTGTTGCTTCCTGGAGCCAGCTTCATGAGGTGGATGGCAGGAACTGGACTCCTACTGAAAACCTTTCTAATATGTAGATCATCGTTGGGGAAAATGAGATAACTGGACCTTCAATTCAGGAATTAAAATTATTTAAACCAATACTGGTTTTCTACCTTGAGAGAAACTTTTAGGTACAGTTTCCATAGAACCCTGCATTGGAAAGTACTTCTGAATTTTCTAGCAGAAAACCACATCTAGATATTCAATTAGCATGTAATGAGCCATTATATGTTTTTTGGATGAAAAATAGCTTATACAGCAGTGAAGCTCACACTTAGAAGAGCTGAAGAGCTCAAGGATAAGATATAAAGAAGCAAATATTATTGATCAGCAAATTGGTAAGGGAGATCAAAGAAGTAAAGCTGCTTTACTTTATTTCAATGAGGAAAAATCCAGGGTTCAATAACTGTGCGGTTGCTCAAACATGTGTATTAATTTTCCCACATAATTTATGTAGTGCAAGTCTATGGAAAGAAAGAGGGACAATTTCCTGAAACATGAGGGAAGAGATGGGGGTGGGGGATTATAAATACTTTGCTTTTGGGGCAAAGATAGACTGATTCCCAAACCAACAATATTTTTGGTAAATAAGAGTAGTATAAACTTTCAGTTTGCAATGAGCTTGTACAAGCTTATACAGATCAAGAGTTGCTATCGATTGCACATTTTGCACAGTGATCTTTTGACATGAGAGTAGACTGTCCTATAGGGAAGAGGTACCCACACCTTCTGAGACACTTCTCATACAGTTGCTTATGGACTATATAGAGTGCCAGACTGAAAGCCCAGGAACATGGCCACTGCTTAGGTCTTGAGACGTTTCTCGGTAAGCCATTCTGGAGGAGATGATTATCCTCAGATAGTATAAATGAGAGTAATGGTAAATAGGGAGGCTCCCTTGAATTCATTCTAGCATTATTGAAAGGCACACATCATTTTGTAATTGTCCTGTAAAAGTGGAATCGTCCGAGACTTTTAAGGTATGCCTGAGTTTATGCATACCAAGAAAATGCTGAGTTTAAGTAGCTGAAGAAATCTTTCCAGTAAACAACTCAACATTAGCTCTAAGTAACTGCATAACTTCATCTCCAAATTACTTTTTCCTTCACGGTTGCTGTTCATTTTCACTTTGACAATGACATTGCAGAAAGGAAATTGTTTCCATAAACAAATACTACTCCATTTCACTATTAGATTTCTGTTTCACTATTGAGTAAAATGGAGATGACAGATCAAAGTTAAAGAGATCTGTGGAAAAAGTGAAGACACTCCAGAGATAAACTGCATTAAGCATGCCAGCAAATTCCATTCCTGAACTCCTTATTCCTCCCCAAAGTACTTATGGAATACTGTTTTTCTTAGATTTTCAAGGCAATTAATTGAAAACTTTATTCTTTTTCTATGGCCTTTCAGACCCAGGGTGGGCTGATGGGGCATTCTTTGACTCACATTTTGAAATGAAGTTTAGCAGTGATTATATTATGTATATTTTCCAGCTTTTCAATTTCAAAATCACTCAAAATGGCTGAGATAAAATGTATTAATAAGATAAGATAGCAGTGAGTTCAATTAAAATGAAGTGAGCTTAGCAATTTAGGAGATCAAATGCTTATCAGGGGGAAAAAGTTTGCTCAGTGTCAAAGAGAAATCAGTGAAGGAGAGAGAGGGGCCCATTTAGAATGGGAATTTTTACACTTGAATATGGTCACAGAAAATACCTTTTGCAATTTCCTGATCAATTGTGTTTCTGAGACAAAATTCTAATACGGTTGTTTATTACATAATTCATCTACGGTGCCAGCCTAATTGTTTCAATAGGTTTCCTAGACAATGTTACACAGTTAGTAAAATGGTGAAAGTCTACTTTTTAATAGCATTTGTGATAACCATATACTGTAGAACTGAAATTGGACTTTTTTTCAATCTGTGCAATAAAATTTGCACTGTAATTTTAGAGCATGTATACTTCTTTCACCAATGATTTGATGAATTAAATTTGTATTGTATATTCCATAAGACTAACACAACTACTATTCTGCAAATGAAACCAACTTAAGTATAGACATCTGTTCAGTCATGGGAGCATCATCACTACACAAGGTTGCCAGTTGTGACATGGATTTATGCTACATTCTAAATTACTGTTTTTATTTTGAACTTGGATCAGAAGCTCCTTTTCACTAGTATACTGTAATTCCTCTGTTTAAAAAAAAATCATTTTCTTTTTAAAAGACTTCTAGCTTACTGGCTCCCTCTAATGGCTACATAATGGAACTGTTCATTTTGTTTATTGGTTCTATGGATTTCAAAAACATTGCCACCTTATTTTTTCCTTGGCATTCACAGAGCGTTGATCACTAGAGATCAGTTCTGCTTCAAGTATAGCAAATATTTGGTTTATCAGGCTGTTCAGTTCTTTTGAGAACTTATGTCTAAAGTTATGCTTTCTTGCATGGAATCATTGAATCTACACGTTTGCAAACCATGTATACTTTTACAAATAATGTATTCCTTGCCTTCAGAAGGTATCAACCCTCTCAACTAATGTTAACATTCACTGTTTTTATCTTAAACTTCAGGGTCAGTGGACTTTCCCCTTTCATGGGTGATAATGACAATGAAACCTTAGCCAATGTTACCTCAGCCACCTGGGATTTTGATGACGAAGCTTTTGATGAGATATCAAATGATGCTAAAAACTTCATAAGCAACCTTCTAAAGAAAGATATGAAGTAAATATACACCATATACAATGCTTTGCATGCTACTGTAAATATGAATGCATAATGACTATCCTCCCAGAAAGACTTCTTACACCCTGTTTTCCCCAAGCGTAATTGCATAAGAGGTATCCCTATTGTGGTACTTCTGCACTCATTTAGTGTAGATGAATGAACTTCTTGAAGGACCTGTGTCTATGCTCACTTTGCCTTTTCAGAACTGATCTAATAATCCCACTACCAAACGATGGCCTATAAACCTTAATAAATAAATACATTGAATAAATTCAAGTCCTATAAATTTCTAATGACTCTTAAGGTATGAATATTTTTTTAAATTTCCTCTTCCAGTCCATTGCTTCCCAGATGTATTAGCATTCAGTTCCTTCCCAGCCTTGGCTAACAGTGGCTGGTGTGGGATTTGCAGAGTAGCCGGTCAGGGAAAGGGATAAGTTCTAGTAGCTTTAGGCTGCTCCTGTAAATAGTTGCTTGCCCCATAATTCCTCCATCTGGACTTTGAAGCCCACATACAGTTTGTAAAGCGAGGCAAGTTGTTCTAGAAAAAAATGTCTTGCGCATTTCCATTTTGCTCAGATTACTAATTAGTTGGCATTTTTCCACACAAGCAGCCCAGTGATGAACAGTACCTATTTAGGAGAACTGTAACTTTTTTTTACTGAGATCAGCATAGAAATATGCAGATGGATGTATCCTCCGTAAGAAATGCTTGTTCCAATGTGTAGTTTAATGATTTTATTCCTAATATGTGTAACTACATATTAAATGTAGTTTAATAAGTTTAGTTTAGATTCCTGCCCTAGGCAGGGGTTGAACTAGAAGACCCCAAGGTCTTTTGCAATCCATGAAATGTGATATTTATTCTGTGTGCACGTTGCATTGACCATTCTGGATAAATATGTTTTTTCAAACCTCTAGGGACAATTGGATGCATGGCTGAAACTTTCATGTCCCCTCATTCCCTTTCCCTACATTGCTGCTGCTGCTGTTGTTGATTTGTGGAGGTTACAAAATAGCTTGGAAATGAATGCCATTTAATTTTGACAGCATAATCCAAAAAAATCTGTGAGGTCTATAGAAAGGAGGCTGGAAGCTGCGTATAGATGCTAAATCTTGAATTTCCCACCCCTGATCTAGGAGTAGGAAAATATGATATAATCTAGAATGTAAGATTTTTTTCAGAATGAATAATAGATATTTTTTTCACTACATGATTTCTTTGCTTCTGCATAGCAGTTAATGAAAAATAATGTGTTAATAGATAACAAATGTAGGCTGACTCCAGAAAAAGATGGCTGTTGCCGTTTTTTATTGCTCCAAAGATATCAAATGGTAATGAAATACATCTGAATAAGAAATAAGAAACACAATAATGAAATATTCAAATACTTTGCAGCAGAGGTTTTTGAGGACTAGACTTACATTTTTTAATCATAATATTCCAAAGACATAAATCTTTTATAGCTCTGTGAATTAAAGATAACTTATTGACATATCATTAATATTACAGGAGCCCATCTCATGGCTTACCTAAGCTAGTTCTCTGCCCAGCATTGCACAGCAAAAGTCAGCATATATCAGGAACGTTGGAGGCCATTATGGCTCTGGAGAGCCATATCCCAGTGTAAAAGATTGTACCTCAAGCAAGCCAACAGCTGTTTAGTCTTCCTAATGTAATGCTAGAAAGAAAACACCTAAGACAATGAGGTGTTGTTTTAATCTTACACTTCAAAAGCTTAGTTAATCATTAAAAACCAAATTAAAACAGAAAGTAAACATCTGAAAAAGTAAACCAAAAATTTGAAACCAAAATATACCCATTTCTTCCACTTTTTCACGTGTTCGTTAAGTAAATTCCCATGTCCGATATTGAAACAAAACATACCAGATTGCAACTGAATAAATCTGTACTCCGTGAGCCATATTGTCAAATATAGAACTAAATAAAATCCAAGTTTTATGTAAGTAAATAGCAAATACCTTTTATCTGTCTTACTCATAGGGACCGCTTGGATTGTACGCAGTGCCTACAGCATCCATGGCTGAAAAAAGACACCAAACACATGGAAGCCAAAAAACTCTCCAAAGATAGGATGAAAAAATACATGGCTAGAAGAAAATGGCAGGTAATATAGTGATCAAGAACATGTGTAACAAATCCTTTGCATATTCTATCTTCGAAGTGCATGAGTTTGGAAGGGATATGAAAATAAAAGGCCCTTTTGTTTAAGAAAAAGAATAAGAATGCATCTTCTGCAGGAAAGCTGTTACAGGATACAGGAAGGACCTTGTTAGTTGTCTTACTCCAATCCCATGTCCTTCAAGTAAATACATGTAACTTAACTATAACAGATTTATGATCATGTTGGCTTTGATCAAATTTGTATCTTTATAGTGCTTATAAAAAAGTTCCCCTGAGATCATTGTGGAGGTACTCAGGAAGATTTTTATCTGTTATTTTAAACAAATTAATAAGATTTTTCAGTATTTTAATAAGGCTGTAGCAACACATTAGAAAGGGGAAAGAGAGGTGTAGTGATTACACCATTCTGAAATGTGGCTTAGAATTTTTTCCTTCATTTGTGCTGGTACTCAATATTGATTTACCCTTTCTGACTTTCATTCCTTCCTCTGTTCCCATGAGAGGAGAAATTCCTAAAAACCCATCTGCTTCACAGATTTCCTTGCCAGCCCATAATGCAGGTTGCCCAAGAGTCCCATGGTTGAAATGCATCTTCACTAGAGACCTGTTACCCCTCCATTCACTGGATCAACTTATACTGGACCCCCATCTCTGGAGTCTGCTTTCAGTGCGCTAAATAGAACCATTGTATGTTTCTCAGTCCCTCTACCTCTTATTTTACAAATATGTCGAAAATAAGGTATGGTAAGAATGAGTGCATAAGAATTTCTTGGTTATGTTACAGAAAACAGGGAATGCTGTTCGTGCCATAGGAAGGCTGTCTTCTATGGCAATGATTTCTGGCCTAAGTGGACGGAAGTCCTCTTCAAGTTCACCAACCAGCCCTGTTAATGCAGAAAAAATTGAAGTTGAAGGTATGGAAATTCTGATATGAAGTGGAGGTACAGTGGTATACCATAGTCTTTCCAACTTTGAGCACAATGGCAGGAGATTATGAAAGCTGAAGTCCAACTCATCTGAAGGACATAAGGTTGGAGAACACTGATTCCATTTCTTCCAAAACTTCAATATTAGTTCATGAATCATATGAAATCTAAGGTTCATTTTCTTCTGTCATCACCAGTGTTTTCTTAACTTGGATATATGTTAATCACTGTTTTGCAGAGATCTGTGGTCTTCTGTGGCCCAGGTTAACAGCCAGTCTGCATTTAACTTAAATATACTTGAGTCTGTTTCTGCATATTGATTATTCATTCACTAGTTTAATATTGGGCACAGTTTGCCACGTAAATCCTTTGAGCAGTAGAATTACCATGCCATATTCCTAGAAGTGTCTTTAACTGCCATTTCAATTTTCAGTTGAAATAAGAAAATTGACGTGACTAGCTTCACAGACAGTTAATGATGTCAGGCAGATGGGACACAAAAATATGTGTGAATATTGTAGGCTATCATATATTGTTTTCAGAAAAGTATTTGACAAAGCACTCCATGACATTCTGATTACCATATTATTTAAGTGTAGGCTGTATGGCATGACAGTTAAATAGATGCTTGAAAATGTTATTCCATAAAGAATGTTCATCCACAGTTCTTTAACAAACTAGAATGTAGTGGCATATTGGATGTCATGAGGATCAGTTCTGAGCCCTGTACTCTTCGATGCTTTCATTAATGACTTGGATGAGGAAGTGGAAAAAATACTTATCAAAAGTGCAGGTGGCACAGAACTGGGTGGAATAGCCAATATGTTAGATTGAAAGGAAATTTGAAAGAAAAATCAAAAACACAGATGTAAAATGGGGAACACCAGCTTGGCAGTAGTACTTGTGAAAAAGATATCAAAATGGTAGTTGATTATACCTGAACTTCTGACACTAAGCGATGCAGTTAAGTGAGTCGTGCCCAATTTTACAACCCTTTTTGCTGCAGTTGTTAAGCAAATCATGCAGTTGTTAAGCGAATCTGGCTTCCCCCATTGACTATGCTTGTTGGAAGCCCCCTAGAAAGGTTGCAAATGGCGATCACATGACCCTGGGATGCTGCAACTGTCATTCATACATGCCAGTTGCCAAGAGCCTGAATTTTGATCATGTGACTACAGGGACACTGCAACGGTCATATGTGCAAGGACCTGTCGTAACTAGCTTTTTTCAGCACTGTCATAACTTCGCGTGGTCATTAAACAAATGGTCGAAAGTCAAGGACTACCTGTATACTGAATATAAATCATCTCTATGGTGTGGCTGAAAAAAAAGTTGTTTAAGGTTGTGTCAACAGTCATATAACTTCCAAATCACAGGAAATAATAATTTAATATTATTTTATGACTACTGGTCAGATCCTATCTCGAATATTGTCTCCAGTTCTAAGCAACCATACCACACATTGGAACAAGTTTAAAGAAGGGCAACCAGATGTGGGGACTAGAAGTTAAGTCCTGTGAAGAGAAATTGACAGAACTGAGAATGTTTAGCCTTGAGAAGATGCTATGAAAACACTTACATGATAGCACTTATAAAGTATCTTAAGAAATGTCATATAGAAGTTTCCAATTTGTCCTTTAAAGTGCAAGATACAATAATGGTTTTAAGTTGCAGGAAGTGAGATCCTGATTAAGGTTGCGTTTTTTTTAATCCTAATAGTACAGAGTAATTTGACAATGGAACCAATTACCCAGAGAATTGGTAGAACTCCCCTTCTCTGTGTTCAAACAAAACTGGATAATCATCTGTCTAGGATACTTCAGTTTAGAGTTCTGCATAAAACAAGGGATTGGATTAAGCAGGAAGTTAGTTTCAATAATCATCTGACTCCTTCCAAGTCTATGATATACCTGCATTGTCCTTTTACCACAATTGATATCTGAACTGCATGGATGTATGCAGTCCACAATAATCATGGTGCCTTATCACATATATTCTCCCAAAATGAATAAAGTATTCCTCTTTGAATTCTAAACTAGCAATCATTACAGATTACTGTGGAAGGAACATAAAATAGACTTCTGTGAGCTGCTATGGTGTTGCTGGAAGAAAAGCTTTGACATTTAGTAGGCTGTAAGAATCATTATCAGACAATTGTTTTATGATAAACCAGAACTGTATTGTTTTTTCCTTAGATGACACGGCCAGCTCTCTCTTAGAAGCAGTTGATGAAGAAAGAACTCATGTGAAGCCCTATTTCTCTAAAACAATTCAAGATATAGAAGTTGTGGAAGGCAGTGCTGCTAGATTTGACTGTAAAATTGAAGGTATTCTTCACAAATGTAGAAGGCTTCATCTTCAGCTTTCTACCCATCATTTTCTTTTTGGTGTTTCAGTATTTTTATCTTCTTGTGATATGATGTATCTTATCTGCCAATTGGCTGATTAATTCTAATTCTCATTTTCTGGATGAGCTATAAGATTTTAAAAATAGTTTTATTCAGGTCATCAATGCAAAGTCTGGCTTTTAATTATTGCTTTACCTTGAGTGAGCTGCCATGAAAAGATGATGATGTGTGTTCATCTGTATATTTCAAATTAATTGGGTACTGGAATAATGTCTGTTGGACTCAGTGACTGAGCTCTTGAGTAGACGTGTAAAAGATAAGTGGGTATAAGATTGCACTATTAGCCATTTTAAAACCATCTATAGTAGTAGCTCTAAAGCCAACCATACATCTATTCTAGTTTACATTTCACATGGTAGATATCTTATCTTTACTTAGTTTATGCCCATATCTGCTAATGAACTGTGCAGAGTTTGAAGGGAGCCAAGTGCTAAAGAGGGACTTCTGGATTATGTAGATTCCACAGGGCCATCTTACCTGGCCTGCAGTTTCCCAGATCTGGACGTGCTCTGGGATCTCTGTTCGGACTGCACTTTTTGTGCACCTATACTAGACAAATATTATTCACTATTAAGGATAACTTAGTTGATAGATGCACATCCACATCTCCAGACCACCACAGCACTTTTTTTTATGGCAAATTCAAGTGAATGTTTATTTCTTCTCTATGTTCAACATTTAATCATTTAAAAATAAGTTAAAACATTTTTAGAAATAAAATACTTCACTTGTGGCATCTGGTATTTTTCAGGTTACCCTGACCCGGAAGTGATTTGGTACAAAGACGACCAATCTATCAAGGAATCCCGGCACTTCCAGATAGACTATGACGAAGATGGCAACTGCTCTTTGACTATTTCTGAAGTTTGTGGGGATGATGATGCCAAATACACCTGCAAGGCAATTAACTGTTTGGGAGAATCAACTTGTACGGCAGAACTTATTGTGGAAACGATGGGAGAAGAGGAAGAGGAGGAAGAAGAATGAATCAGCTGAAGAGGAGAAAAATCACTCAGTTGAAGACTCTTTAATGCTCATGTAGTGTGACATTAGGTCATAGTTTCTTGGTTTGTTTCATCAGCACCATGGGCTGACACCTGTTTGTTTTATTTATGGGCATTAACTTGAATTAGCAAGCACTTTAGGTGGCTGTTGTGCTTGGATTTAGTTTAAGTTAAAGCATCAGTTGCATAGCTCAGACAACGAATGTGAACACACCGTGTGAAGCTAATCTTCCAGAATCAACAATTTCTTTCTTAAACTTACGATCAGGAGAGGGGAACTGGATAATTATACTAATTGTTTCATCAAACAGCATAGCTAGCAAAGAATGTTTCTTTGGTGCTCTGTGGCACCATTGAAGCCTGTATGAATCAAGTACGTTTGGAGAACATGGGGTGCTATCCAACAGTAAAATTTTACCTGTGTGAAGCCCACTGGAAATACAGGAGTAACACAGGAGGTTTCCTGATGACTCTAGCTGGCTTCTCTTATCAAACAGATACACAAATATATTCTGTTATTATCCCAATGGCATCTTGCAACATATTACAAAATTTAGTTTTTGGTTTTTCCACCAGTGGCATCTCAGATTTCCCATTAAAAGCATTCAGCTTTCCCCTTGAATGTTATTTGTAAATTCAGATCAGAAAACCTCAATTTCAGAGTAAGCCATTACAGTTTTCCCTGGAAAATAAGAAAACAAATACAGTTTAAATCCAGGCAAAATAGCTTGACAGTTCTGTAGACTGCAACCTAAATGTAATTACCCAGTTTAGAAAATTAAAGACCTTTTCCCTATTTTTCTTTGCAGCAGTTGAGCTGAGCGGTGGATTTTCTTAGTGAATTGCGTGCTATTGTGATCATCACATAACAGGTCAAACAAACAAGCAAAAAAGCTGCAGGTGCAATTTGCAACCAAGTCAGCTAGCACCGTACTTGGTGTGTTGGCTGCAATCCTACATTAACTCTGCTGTGATGAAAGATGAATTCCCTGGCATTCCTGGCTGCCTCACCATAAGCTCACGTGATGCTGAATGGCTTTTCCCCACAGACAGAAAGAAATCATAAATAACGTTCTTTTTCCTGGCTGCAGATTTCTGCCTGCACCACTGCTCTGAATGCCGAAAGGAAAACGTGTCACTATATTTATCAGAACAAAGTGAAAGGTTGTGGTTTTGAAATGTAGGCTTGTTGGAAACAAGCAGTATGTTGTGAAAAGTCAGTGCTTGTGTGATGCAACTCAGGCTGATTTGTATCATTACTTTGCGCTTATTAAAACAGTTAGCTAGAAACTGGATAGTCAGAAAAGAGAGTTAGATTGCAAGGTTCTCTACAAGTCCCAACAAACCACAAACTCAGTATTTGTGAGGTTGATGCCTTACTCGTAAACATATACACACAAACACAGAGAGACACTTAATGGTAAAAAGAAAATAAGTATCTTCCTCCAAACTGATCAGCACATTCAGATTTTTTCCATGTTGCTTTCCTTTCACAGTTAGCTGCCATTCAGAAGCCATGAAACTTTACACATGAACACCTAACAGTACCTGTCTACACTTAGTACATCTTTCCAACTGTGAGACTTTTCTCCACTTCCTGTGCAAGATGCAAACATTTTCAATGTAACCATTGGCTTTGTTGAAGAACACAGACAACAAATCTTGCATTAGCTTCTCAAGGCAGAAGAGGAAAATTAAGTATATTTCAATACAGATACATACAGTATCTTTAGAATGTTTGATCTTATTAGTCTTACATGTTCTGTATTCGCTTGTCTGCCTGTTTGAATGCAGATTTTCAAAATTCCATTTATGACATTTACTCACAATTGCTGTGGGTTTTTTATTACTGCTTTTGCTGTTTCTTAGTTGAGGTTACCAGCATGTCTTCTTTTTAAGTGGATGAGGAACCTTTGTTATAATAAAACACAGTAATTGCCAGTTTGCCACACGTTGTTATAAGGCAAGAGTTTTAATATTATTTAGTGCATACAAAGCATTTTCTCACATTTTTTCAATGTGTTAAGAAAACAATGGGGTGTATTTTTGTATATCTTAATTAAAAATATGCTAATGTTTTCTGGTGTCTTAACAGAGAGGGAATATTCGAGAACACTACAGCTGTAGTTACTCACAGTTTTTCAATAAATACATATCACAAAGCATGCTAGAGACCGTTTGTTCACTCCTGTCTGGCAATTTAAGCTCTCTCTTGTAGTACTGCATTCTCAATCCATAGTGAAAGTTGCATTAGTTTACCCCTCCCTGATAAATTTCTAGATACACTGTTTCCATGACCCAGTTTAATATAATTTTCTACCTAGACAATGGGGTTGAGTTGCAAAAATATATGAATTTGGTGAATTTGTTCATGTTTGGCTGAAAACTGAATGATTCCTCTTGGCTCATGAATCTTTTTAATTCATACAAGCGTATTACCAAGTGCCAAGTAGTGGCCAAGTGCCAGACAACTGGTTCTTTTAGGATCCAGAAGCAATAAACACACCAGTAGGTAAGGAGATTTTAAGCTTGCCCTTCCTTCCTTCCTTCCTTCCTCCCTCCCTCCGTCCCTCCCTCATATTTATATGGCCACCCATCTCACAAAAACTCTGGCAGACAGATTTAAACATAAACACAAAAGTGTAACATACCAAGCAAGATGACGACAAATCGCCAGTTCAGCTGTTGGGAGCCCCAGTGGAACAACAGTGGAGAGACCCCAGAACGGCCACGTGGCACAGCACCCAGCTCTAGGTCTGTGTTGAAGCTCCCCTCACCCCCAAGTAGTGGCAATCCCAGGGTTTTGTCAAAGTCTGGCACTAAAACCTCATGACCTTGTTTCCATGGTACTGGGATTGCAGGACCTGACCTTGGTTAGATGGTGCAATGTGAACTAAGTGCCTGGGAACTGTACAGATAACCTTGAAGATAATCATCTGCAACTGTGTGAAGATTCTTCCCTTCTCTCTTATTTCCCAAGCAAAAGTGAAAAACCGGCCAGTAAAGATTATGACCCAGAATGACCTCTAAGCTTCTAGAACCTTCTTAATATGAAGGAGAAATTCAAAGATGTTAGTCTCCTTGAAATACAATGGTCTTCTGCAATGCCACTACAACAAGTGGTTGTGTTTTTTGCAAAAAAGACTGGTTCTACTAACAGTTCTCTTTTTTAAAAAAAATCTATAAGCAATGGAATGTTTGCTTGAAGGCAAACACAGCACTTTTTTTTTAATTAAAAAAACCATTTTTGAAGAAAAGAGATTCCTTCCACATGCTTAGTTAAAAAAAAAAAACTTAAAGATCAGGAGAGAAAAATAACACCTGAACCTCCTGCTGAGACCCATTCTAGTTGGCTTTCCTTGATTCCTGGATAGCTATTTGCAGGTCCCCAAGAACAGTGGAAGATGGTGACGGTAACAGATGCTAGAGGCAAGGGAGAGGGGGCACCCTGCCGGAGGAAATATAGCCACTCTGGCCTCAAAATGGTGACCTGCTCTGCTACCCATCTTCCTTGGTCCTCTGTGATTCCTTTCTTTGCCTGCTGCCTCCTCACTCACTTCAGTACCTCTTTTCTCTCTCCCTCCCCTGGGCTTTTTGTTCTTTTTTCCTCCATTTCCCCCTCCCCCTCCCATGCAGCCCACATTACTGCCTCCTGGAGGATGGCAAGAGCAACGCACCAGCTTCTGTGTGCCTAAAAAAGGATGTGCTTGTGCTTTCTCTTTGATTGGTGCAACTTCCTTTTATCCAGCACTGTGAAGGAATGAGCAAGTGCAGAGGAGGGGAAAGAAACATTTTTAAAAAGTGTGTCCCCCACGCTGTGTGTATATGCTGCTTTTAATGAGTCATTTCCCCCAGAAATCAATGTATTTTCTGAAGTTATAAAACAAAAACAATGTTTGTGGATGCAAATGCTTAATCTCTTCCCCAAACTTCCCCTTGTCATCCATTTTATTTACCATTTGTGAACATGTTGCAAAATAGCTAATATCTGCAGAGTGTTCAATCTTGATGAGGTGAGGTCAGAAAAGCAGAAAGAACAATTCTGCATAGTAGTGTATCTGTGAATTTTATTTGTGATACTTCATTAAGAAGTATGGTAGAAGTGTTCCCTTTTCTCCACTCCCAACTGTTCCGTCTTCAAAAAGTAGAGAAGTTGGATGTAGTTTTCCCTTTTCCTACACAATATCCCTCTAGGTTAGGCTGAGTGGGGGAAGAGAAAAAGGTTATTTCCACACTGTATTATAAGATGATATGTAAATCCACCCTGCATGAATAGCTTACAGAGCAGTCAGTGCTATGCAAACTTTGAAATGAAGGTAAACTGAATAAACTTTGATTAAGTTAGCCATCTATAGGCATTCTTATGCAAACTCAGTTTTTATTGCAGTTACACTGTAATTTTAGCATTTCCTTACATATACATGCACAGAGACTTAAACTGATTCCTACACCATTGATACCTTTCCTCCATTCAGAACTGGAGTTCGAAGATTATACAACTGCATGTCCCTCTTTTGGAACATATACAAAGTACAGATCAAAAGTCCGTTCAGCATTTCTATTTAGGGAATAAATGGTAAAAGTTCACCCAAACATCTTCACTGCAACTAGTTCAGAGTGAGCTTCTGTGCGGTTTTACCTTTTAGGAAATTATGAAAGCTTCTGTTTAGTTTCAGAAATTCCTAATGTGTAAGGAAAGACGTATCCTTTGGAAGACAAAATGCTCAAGTGCTTGAAAAGTATTTCTATTCATGCAGTGGACTGAACAAGGAAATGTCATGTATATTTGTTCAGTGTCAAAATTTCCCAACATGAATGTGATCTGAGATTAACTGTTAGGACACCAAACTCTCATTCCAGAGGCCTGACTTTTCCACTAGCAGTACTTTTAAACCCACATTTGGAAAAGAAATAGGAGAAAGTTTCCCCCCGATAAATACAATCGCAGTGTTGGATTCTTAGTAAATTATAGGTTGGAATCCTGACCCTCCTCTTCAGCATACAATTCTAGAAGAAACTAAGAAGCTAGGTCTGCAACCCCATAATTCCAATGCAAAACTACAAACAGCACTTTGCTCCTCAGCAAACATGTCTGGAATTCTGATAAGAGCGAGGTCACAGTTTTCCTAAACACACACACGCACCCAATTATCCGCAGCCTTACTGAACAGGGCTTGCTTCTGAAAAAAAAACACCGACTGTTCAGCTCCAAAATTACAGTTTTAAACATATAGAAACCAGTTATTTTTGTAAGATGGCTGAAAGACATGCTCCCTTGGATCACCTTTCAAAAACATGCACTGAAATAAAATCTGTAACTTTTCCCAAACAGAGAAGGGAAGATCCCAAGACTTCCTCGTGGAAAATGCCCAGCACAATTTTGAGGTCAAGATTTCTTCTCCTCTCCCATTTCTCCCTCATTACTGCCACACAAAGTTATTTCCACTCTTCCTTGCTTTTCAGGAGTACAAGGTGGCATATGCAGTTCCAAACTGTTTTATCGATACCTGTGAACCACTGAGAAAACCTTAGCACAACACAATAGATTAGTCTAAAGCAAGTTGTGGAAATCTTGCCATGCTGCTTACAGGCTGTATAAATCAGAGTCTTGCATTAAGCCATAATTTTCATATAGCACATTATGTGAATGCAACCAATCAATTTATGTTAATATAAGCAGTCCTCGCTTAATGACCACAATTGGGACCCAAATTTAGTTCACTAAGTAATGTGGTCGTTAAGTGAGTCATCACTGACCACTTCACTTAGCGACTGCAATCCCGGCTGCCGTCGTTAAGCAAGAATTGCAGATCATTAGGTGAGGCAAGTTCCTGTCAGCTTCCTGCAATCAAGTTAGTGGGGAACCCAGCAGGAAGCTGCAAGCCCCAGAAGCTGCCAAGTAGGGGAAGGAGCGAGGGGGTGCGTGGGAGGGTCAGGGAGGGTGCATGGGGGTGAAGTGCGGGTCAGGTGCACCAGGGCCTCAGAACCACTTGGATTTTCAGCCAGAGAGTCAGGAGGCTTCTGACACCTCTCCACTCTGGAGCTGTTAATCCTCTGTGGCTGAAAATCCTGCTTTGATTTTGACACACAGCATTTTCAGCCAGCCCCAGAGATGCCGAAAAAGCTCTGTGCTGAAATCTCTGGGGGCTGGCTGAAATCTTATGTGCCCAAATAAGAATTCAAATAGTACTGCCTACAATAGGTTGCACAATCAGCCAGAAGTAGGGAGTTAGGTGTTGCCATTAAATGATCAATAGCAATAACTTTTCCTTCCAGTAGTACCAACATCTTGGAAACCATGAAAGTGTTCATGAATTGAGAAAGAAACAGAAATTGACTGACAGTGACTATCAATACAAAACAAAAAGTTTCAGAATTCTACCATGTTAAAGAAAGATTGGGATTGTAAGAATAGCAATATCTTTCCCCTTTTTTGTTGGAATAGTACATTCCTCACTGAAAATCTACTGTCACATCACTAACTTTTTAAATGCCCATTAACTGAGTCTCTAAGGTGTATCTGATTCCTTCTTCTATATTTTTCCTCAAATAATTTTCTACCAAATGAGTATTACCACAGTGTTTGCAGTCATCAAATGCTGATAATTTTATAATTAATTGGGAACAGTAAAATTGGAACTGTTGGTCTGTTTTGGTAATCAGCTGCTTAATCAGCCAGATTCTACAACCTTGCTGCCATAAAGTTTATTTCCTGCTTTACCAAATGGACAATTATTCAATA